CTTATACACTGTTGTTGGGAATGTAAAATGGTACAAGTACTTTGGAAATCGATTTGGCACTTCTTAAAAAGCTAGAAATAGAAGTACCATACGATCCAGCAATCCCACTCCTTGGACTATATCCTAGAGAAACAGGAGCTGTCACACGAATAGATATATGCACACCTATGTTCATTGCAGCACCGTTCACAGTAGCAAAAAGACAGAAACAACCTAGATGCCCATCAGTGGATGAATGGTTAAACAAATTATGGTATAGCCACACAGTGGAATACTACGCAGTGATAATGACCAAGCTGTGAAACATAACATGGAGGAAGCTGGAACTTATGCTGAGTGAATTTAGTCAGTCACAGAGGACAAATATTGTGTAAAACCAGTATCATAAGAACTCAGGAAATGGTTTAAACACAGAAGAAAACATTCTTTGATGGTTATGAGGGTGGGGAGGGAGGGTGAGGGTTATTCACTAACTAGATAGTAGGCAAGAATTATCTTAGTTGAAGGGACGGACAGCACACACTACAGGGGAAGTCAGCACAACTGGACTAAACCAAAGCTAAGAAGTTTCCTGAATACAGTCAAACACTTTGAGGGACAGAGTAGCAGGGGCGGGGTCTGGGGCCCATGCTTTCAGGGGACATCTAGGTCAATTTGCATAACAAAGTTTATTAAGAAAATGTTCTGCGTCCTAATTTGGTGAGTGGCGTCTGGGATCTTAAAAGCTTGCAAGCGGCCATCTAAGATGCATCAGTTGGTCCCAACTACCTGGATAAAGTAGAATGAAGAACACCAAAGCACAAGGAAAGTGTTAGCCCAAGAGACAGAAAGGGCCTCATAAACCAGAGACTTCATCAGCCTGAGACCAGAAGAACTAGATCGTGCTCAGCTACCACCAATGACCACCCTGACAGGGAACACAACAGAGAGTCCCTGATGGAGCAGGAGAAAGGTGGGGTGCAGAACGCAGATTCTAGTAAAAAGATCAGACTTAATGGTCTCACTGTGACTGGAGGAACCCCAGAAAGCATGACCCCTGTGTTCTCAGCCCAGGACTAAATTTCTGAGGCCATCTTTTCAGACAAAGATTGGCCTGGACTGTGGAACATAAAATGATAACTCTGGAGAGTGTTGTTTTTAGCTCAGGTACATACATGAGACTAAATGGACAGCTTCTGTACAGAGGTGAGATGAGAAGGCAGAGAGGGTTAGGAGCTGGTTGAATGGACATGGGAAATTGGGTGGAGAGGAGGAGTGTGCCACTGTCACTGTGTGGGGAGAGCAATTAGGGTCACGTAACAATGTATGTATAAATTTTTGTATAAGAAGCTAACTTGAAATGTGAACTTTCACTTAAACTATAATAATAAACAGAAAAAAAAAAACCCTCACTATATGTATGCTGTAGGTTGCCAACATCAAATAAAATCAAACCAAACCCATTGCCATCGAGTTGATTCTGACCCATAGCAACCCTATAAGACAGAGCGGCTGGGGGATTCAAACTGCCAACGTTTTTGTTAGCAGCCGAGCTCTTAACTGCTGTGCCACCAGGGCTCCCCATACTACCCATGAGATGTCATTTATGATAACTCTACTTTCCTGTTTTAAAGAAACAGTTTTTTAATAACTCAAGAGACTATTACAAACCTAAATGCTAGGTTATTCTTTATGTTTTACTAGACTCTCCCAAGCTTTGTCTTTAAGTGGCTCAGCACTTCGGTAAAAGCAAGTGTAGGTTTAATGATGTTACACTCAAGGCCTGACCACCTGCTAGCCTGAGCTCCTGAGGAGCAAGGTTGCTTTTCTTCTGCGTTAGACTCTTTAAGTTTCCCGGTCCAGGAACTGACAGGTTGGCAGTACTCAGTGAAAGTCAGGGTTTGCCAGAGGAATGAACACTGTTGCTTTTCAGCGTTTACTGATCCTCCTCTGCGTTCTGTTGGAGGTCTCTGGTGTTTTAATTATTCGTGTGTCAGTTTAGTAGAACTGCATCATACGCTTGTGCTTAAGACGGATGGCCGTTTAGATTGCGGTTCTGTTACTGTCTGCTCACTTCAGATCAGTTATTTAGCCTTTCTGAACTTTAGTTTCCTCTTCTGAAAATGGGGCTCATATCTTCTTCTTTGGTCCTCTAAGATTACATGAGGTAATGGAATGTATGTGAAACTAATGAAAATAAACATTCATTTTCTCTCCTCTTTTTTTTTTCTTCTCATTACGATGTGGATCTTTTTCAGTAAACTTTTTCTTTTTTTTTGGTTTCTCAGGTCTGGGTTGCTGACCGAGGAAATAAAAGGATCCAAGTGTTTGATAAAGACACTGGGGAATGGTTAGGAGCATGGGATAATTGTTTCACAGAAGAGGGACCATCTTCAGTCAGGTCATTGTTGCTTTCTGTTCTAAAATGCTTGTTTTATTCAGTTTATATGACTTAGTTCCTTGGAATAGCTGGCTGGGAGTTTTAAATAACTGTTAATTTTAAGCATGGAAAATGAGAAGGAATCAGGTGTGCAGAGGATTCAGCATGGTGTGTCCAGTCCCAGGCTGAATGCGAACAGACTCCCAGTGCCCTGGTGGAGCTGGTAGAGCACGTGCGCTGGAGTTCTCCCACAGCCTTCACCCGCCAGATGCTTTTGGTAAACTTTGTAACGGAACGAAAAGCAAAGTCTGAGTCGGTGGTATCAGACCCAGCGTAACACCAACTCTTTATGAGTTGTGTTTTGTGTAGTACTCTGATGCTGATATTTTAAAAAACATATGCCAAGCTTTGGCTACGCCTGCCATCACAAATCTCTTGCTCCCTCATAAACAGAATTAGATTGAATTTAAATTCTTAAAAAAGCCATTGAGCAAGTAGTAAGTGTTTGTCATTGTGGGGGATACACGTGTTTGAAAATAAGCGTTTAGGTTTATGTCACGTGAATTCATTGTGTGAATGTCTTCCTCCTAGATTTACTCCTGACGGGAAGTACTTGATCGTGGCGCAGTTGAACCTCAGCCGGCTCTTGCTGTTGGAAGCACCTCCCGTAGGCAGCATCGGCAGCTGTTCTGTGGTCAGCACCATCCAGCTTGCAGATCAGGTTTTGCCTCATCTCTTAGATGTGGACAGGAAGATTGGAGCAATCTACGTAGCAGAAATTGGAGCAAAACAAGTACAAAAATATGTCCCTTTGAAGAGCTATTTTCTTTCACTTGGTTCATAGCATTTCTTTTCCTGGAGATTTTTCCAAGTTCAAGTTCAGATTCTCAAATTCATCAAGTGGTTAAAAATGATGTTGAAGCACAGGAATGTTTCCTGATTTTTACCAGGTCTAGTCTTAGATTTATTTTTTATATCATTATGAATCAGTTTGTTGCCATTCTTAAGAATTAATTTTACTTTATGTGCATAAAGATATTTTAATGAAAGAAATGTAATTTTAAGAAAGTAGGGTCAGAAGGAGGGATTAAGGCTGTAACTTAGTTTCCCTGGTAGACTAATTCTCCCTAAGGAAAATGGGAATAAAAATGGGTTTAGAGGATGTTTTAGTGAATTTCATGTGATACTATAAACCTCAGTTTGCTTACTTTCTATAAAATAAATGTTTGAGAGATGAGTCAGATATGCTAGGTATTAATTTAAGTACTCACCGAGTGCTAGATCGTGAAGATTAATGAATAAAAAGGCAGGGCTTCTCTGCCTTTGAGTAGCTTGTAGGCCAGTTGGGAGAAACAGTTACAAGCTTGCTGTGAACTTTGATAGTTTCTGTTTTTAAAGCCCAGCTTTGCGTTGGTCCTTTAGCTGTGAGATACTTAATATCAGTCTTTAAATGTAGGAATAAAAGGGCATCTAAGCACTTTACCAAAAGGGATTTTTGCAAATAACTGGAATGTTTTTTATGTATAGCATTAAATATAGGGCCTCTCTGCAGTGTTTCCCTGTTTCTTTTTTTTTTTTTAACATGAACGCAGTTTATTCCTAATATTGTCTACCTCAAAGAAATTTCAGGATTATTATTTATATGGAAATGTGTGCCAGCCAAATACTTAAGAGATTGGGCTGATTAATTTCCTGTACCGTTTCTTTGTTTCTCCCACTTGGTCTGAATGTTGGCTTCCCAGTTAAGACAGTTTTTCAGGTCTGGTTTATTTTCTTGGTGGAACGTTGCAGTAGTACGATCTTTCAGGTGGTTTTTTGCCTTTCATAGCATCAGCCTCCCTTCTTTGAGTTTACGGTACATTGAGCTGATTGTCCTCATCAGCCATTATAAACCAAAAAAAAACTGAACCCAATGCCATCGAGTCAATTCCGACTCATAGCTGGAGTCTTTTCCAGACTTCGGGAACTCACACTTGTTCTAATGCTTGGATCATATCTTAATATGATTAAGAAGGCAAATTTGCCAACAGGAAGTCCTATCCTGTATTCAAGGCCATTTATAAGTGTTTTTGCCAGGGATCAAGCTGTATAATATTAGACATCACCTGTCTAGGCCTTAGTTTTCTCTTCAGTAAAATGAGAATATCATCATTTTTCCTCCTTCACAAATGCTCTGGGGATCAGATGTACAAACATTCCTTTTGACATACATAGCTATAGGTACATTAAAGGCATTTTATTAACAAAGGTCCTTTTAAGTGTGCTACTTACCTGATAACTGGCTATCCAGTTTGCCTTAATTTTGCTTTCTAATTCTTTTATCCAGACATATCCTCACGAACTTTATACCATTTAGCTAATACAGTAAATTTATTTGCACGGAGATAATTTGAGATGTTTTGGTTTTAAGCCACAATGACGAATGCAAATGTGTCTTTAAAGGAATGCAGGTTAGGTTAAGCTGATTTTATCATTTCTGAAATATTTTATTAAACTAGTTTGTACCGGATTTTATAAAACTTGTCGAAAACATTGTTCCTATATGTATTGCTATAAGTGTTCATTACTTATTGTAGTCATAATATTTCACTTTTGGATTAACTAAATGCTTGAGAAATACGTTGTTTTTCCCTATAAAAAATACAATTAAAATTTTGGAAAGACAGTATTCTCTGGTTTCCAAATTATATCAGTATGGCTGCCCCTACTCTCTTTTGCTTATTGTTTGCATGGACTATTCTTTTCCATCTCTTTACTTTGAGTCTGTATGTGTGTTTGAGCCTAAAATGTCTCTCTCATAGACAGCATATGAATGGGTCGTGTTTTCTTTATCCATCCTGTCACTTTACTGCTGACACATATCCTTTTGTATGAAGCAGATTGTCCCCGCTGTAATTTATCTTTCCTCTTTATCATTTCTGGAAGGCCCTTTTGAGTTGCTTGTACTGTGCCTTCGGTACTATACTGTTGTTCATGATGTTCATCCAGTGAAAGGAGGAAAAGAAATTGTTGAAGGCAAGGAGCCTGTGAGAATCCTTATATGAGTGACATAGTCCAAGAACAACACTCTCATCTAGAGGGAGAGATGAGTCATCATCCATGCCTTTTTTTCCTGCATAGATATCAAAGTGACTTAGAAAACCAGTTTGTGTGTCAGCCAAGCACGCAACTTTGTACCTGCACCTGAAGAGCTTCATTGGCATCTGTGAAAATGCAGACAGCCCTTGAATGGCACCATGCTTTCATCAACTACTGTGACACCTGATGACACATACGCTTCCTTTATATGGCTATTGAGAGCATTGATAATAGGATGCAATTTGTGAAGCCAGTTGTAGCCAGTTTCTGCTTGGGGCCTGGCTTTTGAATTGTCATTGCAGTGTCTGTTCTCTTTCGGTTTCTTCAGCCATGTTTTAGTGGTAAGTTCTGGCGTGGAAGTAATACCCCAGAGGGGGTCACTGGACCAGTAATGTGGAAGCGCCAGCAAGACGTGTATGCCCATCAGTATATGCACAGCAGTGAATGTCTTTATTTCCTCCATGGTTGTAGGCTGCCAGATTTTACTTGGCACGCTGAGCAGCATACAGATTCATTTGGTCCTTTATAATTTCTAACATCTCTTCCATAAACACAGACAAAAAATAATCTACCTTAGTATCTTCAACGGTCAAGTCTGGGACAACTTTGGCATCTTGCTGAAGCAAGCTTATTATCTGCTTAAACTAGGAGACATCTTCACACCAACCCTCTTCATTTCCTTTGCTGTCATCAGGGCCATCAGCATCTGCTTGAGCTCTTTCTTGTGTAACATCAACTGCTTTTTCATCCTGTGACACCATGTAACTGCCATTGTTGCTACCATCGCAGTGAGCTTCAGATTCACAAAGATGGGTAAGCTCCTCTGAGGCATCTTTGTCGTGGTCCACCTAAGAATCATCTGCATTCAGGGTGGAGAAAATTAAAATTTCTACAGCTTCTTCAGCCATGTAAGTAGCCATTTCTGAAAAAGAGGAGTGTTCAGGAAAAAATAATTCCAGCCTCCTGTAGAAATAAAAGTCCCAAAAGGAATTGCTGTCATGGGACCATTACTACTGCAATCCATTGAATATTTCTTAATCACGAAAACAGCACCTTCCCATTAACACTGAGGGAACAGTAAATGAACTTGCAAGGCTTATTTCCCTGCACCTAAGCCCAAACAGAAAATCTGAGTGGGACGTATATGTCCCAGTGGTCTTTCAGCACACTAAAATGGGTGATTACACTTTATGGCCCCTGAAAATAAATCATTCCTTTGACTATTTCCTGTTCATGAAAACAGCAGCTTCCCAGTAATGCTCAGGAAACAGTAAGTATACTTACAAGGCCTATCTCACTGTGAAAAAGGTAAGAGACAAAAGCTTCATACAAGCACTACTCCAGTATGCACCACCTCGTGTACTGACCTTTGATCACAGCAGCATGGTGCCGATGAACTTCCTTCCATTTCACAGTGTTACACAAGGCCCCACCCCTACCCTAGTATATAATACTAGCGAGGTTTGAGGATCCCAATGAAACTCAAGAGGCCAGAGATGTAAGTGGGATGTACATGTCCCACTGGTCACGGAAGGGCTATCGGGACTGCCCGTGCCATATTTTCCCACACATAGCGCACCCACATAATGCATGAACACATATAACACAGAAGTGCTGAAATTATGTTTAAAACTTGTGTCATAGCACACCCATGCATATAACATGCATGTCGTGACATTTCCAGAAGTGAATTTTGGCACCATTTACCCTCATTTGTTAGTCCAAAAATGTTACTTGTGATTTTATTTGTATAATAAAGGTATAAGCCATGGTGAAGGAGTCATGGATTGAATTTGATAGTACCCCTGTAATCAGAAAATAAACAGTTGAAACTGTGCATTTGTTTCTATTTAAGTTGATGATTAAGTCATCAGTCAGAACCTTGAACCTACTGAAGCCTGCCCCTAAATCATGTGCTATCAATTGGAAACATAAAGCAAAACCTGCACTGGCATAAATGGCATCAAGTAGCTATCAATAGGAATCTCGATTTAATCTGCATTGACATAATTATCACAGTCATCTTCTGACTCTGGCTTTTAATTGGAGGAGTAAATAAAGCAAAACTGATAACACAGTCACTCTTGGCTCAACAGTAGAATGTGAAAACTTTATCAGATCATCTTAAGTGAACACATTAAGCTATGTTAAGTCTGTTTATTCCATAGTCCAATTATGTCTTATTAGGGCCAATGTCTTTGATCAATGATCATTAAGTTATCTTAGTCATATGTTTGCAAGCATATAAAAAGACCCTTGTACACCTCACATTTCAATTTTGCTGTCTCTACTGGAACCAGGTGGCTCGATTGCTAACCGAAAGGTCGTTAGTTTTCATCCGCCAGCCACTCCCTGGAAACCCTGTGGGGCAGTTCTACTCTGTCCTGTAGGGTTGCTATGAGTCGGAATCGACTCGATGGCAACTGGTTTGATTTTTTTTGTTTGATTACTGAAACCAACCAGTTATTAATATTGTACACATTTTTTTGAGTTTATAAATCTAAATCTTAGAAACCTTTAGGATCATGGTAGGAATTAAACGCAAGTCCTACACTGCTGACTTCAAACTGCAAGTTGGTGCAACTGTGGAACAAACAACGGAGTGGCAGCAAGAGAGTTTGAGATTGGAGAGTAGTCCATTCGTGAATGGAGAAAGGAGAAAAAAGAGCTGGAGAAAATGAATCTGCGAAAATGTATACGTCATGATCCCAAAGCAATATGGCCTGAGTCAGCAAATGAGTGAATTATTACATAAAGGGAAAAAAAAAATCAAGCTGTCTCTACTGTCACAACACAGATCAAAGCAAAGCTTCTGGGAAATGATAGAGGAATCCCAGATTTTAAGGCAAGTTTAACCCGGAATTCTAAATTCTTGAAATGGCCTTTCTGTAAGAGAACCTCTATAGGCCAGCAACTTCCAGATCACTGGGAGTAAAAGGTGGTAAGTTCCAAGAATTTGTTGCCAAAGAAATCTCTGAACTCGATATCACTGCAGTGGAGGTGATTAATATTGAGGAGGGTTTGATGTCTTTTGACATTCTGGCCACCAGGACTAGCTGCTTCAGGTATGAAAACAGTGCCATTACAACCACCGGGCACTAGATTGCTTGTTTAACTGTAGTCCTTGGTTGCACTGTGAGTGGGGTGAAATTAAAGCTGATGAGCTGATGGTGATTTTCAAGAGAGTTACTACACCCTGTGAAAAGCTGCCCACCAGTGTGGTGGTTCATTGTAACAAGGGATGGATGGACTACTGTTGTTATGAAAGTATGGGTAGATAAATGTAGTAAGGCCAGTCAGGGGTGATTATTTTCGAAGAAGTCTTTACCAATTTTTGAGCCATGACTTTTCACACACAAAAAAAAAGTTCAAAATTATATTTACTCAGGGCAACTTCAGGGCAACATGGCACTATAGACGGAAGCACCATGCCGCCCCTCCACAGCAAAGATCCAAAAAACTAAGTCAAACAAACATCAGTCCTGAAGCCCTAAGCATCAGATGAACAGAGAACTCAGCCAAGCACTGAATGGAATAAGAAACTAACAGAACAGAGAGCGAGGAGAGATACATGCAGAGATCCCCTATCAGCTAACAACGCAGCAGAGATACACTATCTTGGACTCTTGTTGGAGTTTGGCAAACCAAGTATGGGAAAGCAGATTCACAGAGCTCCCAGCAGGAGACAGAGCAACCGGTAACCAATGATATAAGCTTTCCCACCCCCCATCCTTCTTCACCCCCACTCAGCCTCCTCTGCTTCCTGTGGCCACAGTCTCTTGGCCAAGAAGCACTGGCTTCACCCCTGTGCCTCTTGGATTCCATCTGCCCACACTGGCAGGCTTCCTGAGTGCCATTTGTTGGTTGCTGGTGTTGCTTTTTTCTGCTTCTTTTGGTTTCTTCCATACTTCTCACCACCTCCCCCTCCTTTCTCTCAAATGCCTGGCTCCATGTGACACCTTCTTCCTAAAAGGATGTGAAACACTGCTCGACTGTGGAACTGCTTCCCGGCACGTGCCACAATGCTGGCGGGATCCCTGGGGCTTTGTTTTGATTTGTTCTGTTTTGATTTCTTTGTTTTCTATTTCTTTTCTCCATTTGGGAGCTCCTTATAGCCAGGCAGTACTGCGCGGCTTGGGAGCTACTCCCTCAGTCTGCACTGCTGCACAGTGGGATCCCTGGGGGCATTTCTTTTTTCTTGTTTTTTGTTTTTTTTTTATTTTCCCTCTTTTTCTTCATTTCTCAGTTTCTCATCTCTGTATACTTACCTTCTCTTCCTGTCTCCTGAATACCTGGCGCTGTGTGACACCTCTAGTCCTTCTAGCCAGGCTGAACTTTACAGCCTGGGAGCAACTTCTCCAGTCCTTGAAGCAGCACCAGTGGGATCCCTGGGGGCTTTTTTTTTCTTAATTTTTATTCCTTTGTTTCCTTTACCCTTTTTCCTTCGTTTTTCTCCATTTCTCAGTGTCTCATCTCTCCATTCCAATGGCAAGCTCCCTTAGCACTCTTTTTTGTTTCTTTGTATGTTTTCAACTCCTCTTCCTCTCTCCTCTCTCTCCTCTTTCCCATGCCCATCTTAGATCCATACATCTCAATCTCCCCCCTCCTTTCTGCCTACCTGCACCACACGCTGGACATCACTCTCAAAGCAGCACAGGCATGGCCTACTGGAACCTGCCCTGCACTGATTCCCAGCCCGCCCTATCAATCCTATTACATGACACAAACAACCCATCCCAGCAACTCCCCTTCAGGTGGACCTACCCTGCTTTACAATACCTGAGTGACAGAACCTTCCCATTGGAGGAGGTGAAAAGTATCATGCCCACAGACAAGCAAACAACAAAGAATGCACAACCAGCCTGTTCAGACATAAACAAATAAAAAAACAGGATGAAACAAATCTAAAATCAGTAAATGAGAAAAACAAATATTGAATGTCCTG